TCCTAGATCCGCCCCTGGGTTAGATGTCAATTGGAACGAAAGTCCTGATCTTTTCTTTTGCCACAAGTTGTCTTTGTATTAGAAGCTTATATAATGTATCGTCAGTCTATTGTCAATGCTAACACAAAGTAAACGTAACAGTTGATCTGTCAATAACATTTAAACTGTGATAAATTTATTATACTGTATTCCTGCTAGCTGTATCGAGTTTTAATATCAAATATATACATCAACATAGCGATTAATAAATACAGCCGTAAGACATGGCACGCAAAGTCCTTCAAAATTAAGCAATAGTGCAATGTGAATCATGCTTGCCAGACTCCACTTTGTTGATTAGCATGCTTGCCAGACTCCATTGCCAGACTCATTGGCTTGCCAGACCCATTGGCATGCTTGCCAGACTCCACTTTGTCAGATTAGGTTGAGCTAAGCCTGAAAGTACTCGGTTTGTCTTGGTGACGACTAAGTCTAAGAAACACGGCACGACATAAACTTTAAATTATATATGGCTTGAAACTTTAAATATTCTCAACCTGCATGTAAGTGTAAATTAAAATAGATTCCCGAAGTGACGATACAATAGGAAGAATTAGCTGAGAGAGCACTTTTGTACTAACCTACTGGCAGGAAGCTCTTAGCATTTAATTAACCCTTGACTTTGTGTCTTAAGCAAGACATTCTAATTGACTTTGTGTCTTAGGCACAGACATTCTGATTGGCTGACACATGACGCAGAAATACTATAGCGTCATGTGGCAGCCAATCCGATCGCTTCATACAATCCACAACATTCCATACAATCACGGTTAACCGTGATACAATCCACCAATAAGAAAGCATAAAATCTCTGGATTTGTCTTTGGACGCAGCGATGTTAGCACAAAATAGGCACAGACACACACACACGTCTTGCCGGTCTTGGTATTTGGTGATAAGCGTGAACGAAGCTTCATCAACTTCGCAAGAATGGCTTCGACAGCAGGACAAATTGAAATCAGGTAAGAATTAATTTTCTGTTCCTACAATTCTGCGTCGCATTTTGAGTCCCCTAACATTTATAGTGGCTCGTAAATTGTATATATATATATATATATATATATATATATGTGTGTGTGTGTGTGCATAAATTCGCGTGGTATGAGATCAGTGCGCAGTTTTATATTCGCGCGATTTGCTGATTTCGTGATACATTCGTGCACTCTCACCACTGTGGAACTAAACTAGGATTGAAACAGTTCGATTTTAAAAATAGACGTATTTTAGTGTTTTTTCATTTCACGTGGGAGTATTTGTGGCGTAGCGAAGGCTGGTTCAGAAATAGCGAGCATTCATTGGCCATCATGCGGGGGGGGCGTCTTTGTGGCGTAGCGAAGGTGTGAATGGTCAATGGCGATATTCATTGGCCGTCATGGCGGGACGTGGAAAGTGCAATCGAGTGTAATCGATGCAAGTTTATTCGTATTTATCCATATATTATCAAAGACTTGAAAATCTGGCGTAAACAATGTTGGTAGATAACTCTTTAGAACACTCTTTAAACTATAGTGAAATACTTGTGACTTCGGCAAAAATGCGATACAACAATTATGTGTGCATAAATTCGCGTGGTATGAGATCAGTGCGCAGTTTTATATTCGCGCGATTTGCTGATTTCGTGATACATTCGTGCACTCTCACCACTGTGG